TATATATATCACCTTTTGTACAAAAATTCTTTTATATCTTTTTCTCTATTTCCTCCCTTTACCTACCCATAACGTTGAGCTTGTTGAACGCCCTGTACGTTTATCACAAAAATACTTGTTCTGCTCTCTGTTTCTGTCTTTCTCGTTCACTGTATCTACACAACCGAAGCAGAACGTTTTTCCCACTAAAATAGGCCTACTTGTACTAAAAGCGTTTTCTCTCTTTCTGTTTATCTCCTCCCTGTATCCACACAATAGAAGACAGAGCTTTTTGAACGCCCCATTATTATGTCAAACAAAATACATGTACTGAAAGTCTTTTTATCTCTTTCTGTCTGTCTCCTGCCTGTACCTACAGAGAAATCAAAGCTTGTTAAACGCCCCATGGATTTAAAACACACACACACACAAAATACTTTTACTGAAAGTCTATTCTCTTTTCAGTCTATCTTTTTTTTACTGTATATCTACACAACAGAAAGCAGAGCTTGTTAGACGCTCCATACATTTATCGCATAAAAATACATGTATTGAGAGTCTTTTCTCTCTTTCTGTCGATCTCTTTCTTGTTCCTACAGAGAAAGCAGAGCTTATTAAATATTTATCATTCAACAATACATGTACTGACTGAACGTCTTTTCTCTCTTTCTGTCTATCTCCTCCCTGTACCTACAGAGAAAGCAGAGCTTGTCGGACAGCCTCCAGGCGGAGTTCATGCACCCACCCCCGTCCCCGGAACCCCCACCGGACATCCCCGAGGAGGATGAGGCTTGGGCGAACGAGTTCTCTTACGCCTGGGCCTTCAGCAAGGACAGTCATGAGGACGAGGTGGAGCAGGAGAGGGAATACCTGACTCAGTGGATCAACACAATCATACACTCCCCCGTCTCCCAGGCACAACTAGAGCGGGAGGCGGACGTCCTCGTCAGAGTGGCTCGTTCGGAAGAGCAGGGCGACCCTGTGGACCCTCAATCACTGACTGTTGCGACAGATGACGAGCAGCAAGCTTGTTTTGACGCAGCAGGGATTTCGAAATTAACCCCCGAACAGACGCGACACGTAGATTCAGCGGGAAGAGTTCTTCCGGGCGCTCCAGCGTCAGAGCAGGAAGGAGAGGAGGGACAGACGGCTGTAGAAGACGTTGGGAAGACAGAGGATGATCGGCTACAAAATGGCTTTGGATCGACGGTTGAGAAAACGGCTTCGAAACATGTGTTGCAATACGAGGAACAAACGGTTGTGAAGAAAAGAAAGCATGACATTGACGCCCAGGACATTGACGGTTCTGGCACTCAGGCTACCCACGGGAAAAGCGGTCAACTGGCGTCCCCTACGGGCAGTGACGGAGTGGCCGCTCTCCTGTCACCCGGGACAGGATGTGACACAGATATGTCGGCTAGTGACGACACAGGCATGTTTCTGTCCACTTCCGATATCGACTTTGACGCCACCGACTCCGAACCATTCCACAGTTCATCAGATGCCAGATCCTCTTCGGAAACCATGTCAACAGGAGATGAAACTCCATACGGCGAAAGTGACGGAGAGTTTGAGGAGGCCCTAGAGCGTCATTTTCTCTCGGCAAACCAACACGATGACAGCATTGAACTATCCACTACACCTGTTAATGAAAGTTCTCAGTTTGACCAGTATATGATCAGAACCGAAATGTTTTCCGAAAGTGCATCTGAAACAAGTGCCTCTCGAGACATTAAATCGGAAAAGGTCGTAGAAACCTCATCAGTCTTACAAACACCAATTCGCATTCCCCAGAACAGGTCCAGCTCTTTGAGAAATAAAAAGAAGAATTCCAGCACTAGCTCTTCCGTTGACGACCTGAACAAATTCCCACACAACAGATCTCCTCCTCCCAGGGGCATGGAACCTGACCTGAGCACTTCCGTTGATGACCTCAGCCGCTTGCCCATTGGTCCTGAAGGACCATCTAGACTGAGATACAGAAGAGGCAATCCCAGATCAACGAGGTATAATTCGAACCCAGAAACAACTTCTCTTCTCTTGGCGGATAAAATTCAGTCCCCTACACATGAGCAGAAGTCTTTGCATGGGGAGTATAGCTCTTCTGCTGATGATATTACCATAGACCCACCACCAATGAGCATTAGCTGTTCTGATGACGATTTCATCAAAACATGTACGAGACGATACGCATCTCTCGGCAGACAACTTGACATGAGCAGATTCAGCAGCTCCGTTGACAACCTGTCTGCAACTGGCTGTCGGTCAGATGGAATTTATCTCTGCAGCCCCTACATTCTCGGAGAGGCATCAGAGCATAGTTCTTCCGTTGACGCCATCAATGAATTGGGAGAAGACCAGGAGCTGCTTGTAAGAAGCCCAAGTAATGGACTTGGGTCCCAGGATATTACCAGCATTCAAGAAGAAGGCCAAGAGGATTTGGAGCACGAAGTCACACGGCATCAAGAACGATTACGTCTGTTTGCAGCGTCAGGAATGAGTCAATCTGTGGATAAGATCGAGCCGAAACCCTCGAGACATTTCGGGTCATCTGTAGATAACATTCCAGAAGAGGTAGATCTTGAGTCTGTTGACCTGAGGCTGGAACTGTCTCATCTCAGTTCTTTTGTGGACACAATAAGCAAAACCAGCGAAGAACAAGTCTCTGAGACGACTACGCGAGTTGAAGGTGTCTTAGACGGAGAGCCGGGAGATTCATCCTCAAGTCAAGACACAACTATAATGAGCAATGGAGATTCATCCTCAAGTCAAGACACAACAACTATTATGAACAATGGAGATTCAACCTCAAGTCAAGACACAACTATGATGAACAATGCAGATTCAGCTTTAAGTCAAGAAACACCGATGACGAACATGGAAGATTTGGAAAATTTGTCACCTCTCGGTGAAACTGGCGATGCTTCTTCAAACGTCCTACAGATGGTTTCGACTGAGTTCAAGCCATTCTTTGATGATGTTAAGAGAGCGTTCGGTGAATTTTCTGACCAGCAATCTCGTCCAGGTGATGAAGCGCCCAATGTTCCCACAGTCACCGACATATCCACGGGAGGCAATTCAGGCCATGCCAAAACAGGCGATATTGCTGCTATACATACATCAGAGGCTACCTCATTTGAAATCCGACATTATTCCAGTATTGAGTCGTCAGCCATGGATGATTCTGTGTTCGAAGAGTCGAATGCAGCTTCATATGCTGGGTCTATCCATATCTCCACGTCTGGCACCACGTCACAGTCTTCCGTTGACCCATCTTTGTTGTTGGACCAAACTATCGAAGGCGCCTTTGGTGGTTCTGCCATAATGCAGGGTGACGGAAATGTGTCCAAAGAAATATACGAGGGCTCCCTTGAAGCTGTGTATGGAACTAAGGAAGATATGACAACTGAACGCCCCACTGGTACCACCGACGAGTCAGCAGAGGCAATGAGCCCTAACCAGAGCCAAAGAACAGATGTCCCTGAGAGTGAGTCATCAGTTGATGGCATATGGCCCACTGATAAAGCTACCTTTGAATCCACTGGCGTGCCAGAAGGAACAAAATCAAAACCTGGAGACACAGAAAACGCAGAAACTGTCGATAATTCAGGTGCAACGGAAATTGAAGAAGGTGTGTTTACTCATGCTTTGAGTGAATTAGAAATGGAGAGGCAGGAAAACAAGCGATTGTTTGAGCAGTTATCAGCTCAGGCGTCTCAATTATTTGCTAGTCTGCAAACCGAAGGCACACTGAGTACGTTCACAAGAGAAGAAACTGGAATCACCAGAGAAACAGTAAAAAGCGAAGGAACAGAGGCCACCCAAGTGGGATTATCGGCGTCCGATATCCATTACCAGGGCTCAGAATCATTGTCAGAATCACTCTTGAAAATTGGCTTTGAACAGGAGTCTTCGTTCGTCCACGAATGTGAGATGTCCAGTGCCGATATAAGCCAAGGAGCCGGAGTTCCGCTATCAATAGACGATGGAAGTCAGGATTTAGGCTCCGAGGTAGACAATGGCATTGTGCTGGGGTACCAAGATGGTGCATCAGCTGATGTTGAAATGCTCGAGTCTTCTGTTGATGAAATGAACATGAATTCTACAACACAATCACTGAATGAATACGGGCAACTTCTTGGATATGCTGCACATCTTGAGGCTGGAACCATAGCTGGGGCCCGTATAGAGAATGCGGACGATGACGTCATTCCTGTATCAGAAAACGATTTCTTAGACATGCAGAGCTCGGAAAATGGTGTTGTTCGTCAGGAGCCCGGTCTTGTCTCCACAGAATCAGAATCAGACCAAACTGAGGCCCAAGGAGGAGCTATGGGAATGGAGCTAGCTGCTGAAATGTTTAATGAAGGAGCCGACTCTTTTGTCGATTATGTCAAGAGAGAGGAGTCCAACGTAGACGGAGGTATGGAAAACCCACAGTCTGGACCGGCGACATCACCATCGGAAGGGGAGTTTATGACACCCACTGATCAAATTTCTCTCAATAGTGTTTCTGAATCAGAGCAAGCAGGAAATGCATCTGTTCATGATTGGGATGGTGTGCAAGAAATCAACAAAATGCTAGAGTCTGAAGCCTACAGGGCTGAAATGCTAGAATCAGAGAAAATGGCAGAGTCTTCTGTAGACGACACGAAGGATTTGAAAGTACCAGAGCAAACTTCTGGCCATGATACAGGCTCTTCACTTGAATCAGAGCAAATGTACGAGTCTTCCGTCGATGAGAAAAACACCGAAGCCTTTAGGAATGAAGTTGCAGAAGAGAATGATAGGGAAGATGTTTTTCAAGAGCCAGAGTCAACAGTAGATTCTTCTGTTGACGACAGTGGTGCTCTGCAAAAGTCTGTGCAAAGTTTGGAGTCTTCTGTTGACGACAGGGATGACTTGCAAGCTCGGGAGCCAACATCTGTTAGTGACTCGGAGGCTGCGCTAGATTCCGTGCAAACACTCGAGTCTTCTGTTGACAACAACAATGGTTTACAAGAGTCGGAGCACTTTTCTGGTGATGCCAAAGATGGTTACACAACCTCAGAACAAGCTTTGGAATCTTCTGTTGATGGCAGGGATGGTTTGCGTGACGAAAAAGATGTTTTGGAAGAACAAGAGCAAAAGTCAGAATCTTTTAATGATGACATTGATGCTTTGTTAGAATCGGAGCAAGCTTTTTTAACATCTTCTGTCGATGACCTGTCCCAAGAGCAAAGATCCGAAGAAAGCCTGAAATCTTCTCCAGCGTTGGAACCTTGCAGTGATGACAAGGGAAGTTTGCAAGAAATGCAGGAGGCACTTGACTCCTCTGTTGATAATATAGACGGTCTTCAAAAACCAGCGCAACCACTAGAGTCCTTGGTTGATGAGAGAGCCCATCTGCAAGAGTCAGAGAAGATAATCGATTCCTCAGTTGATGACAAAGATGCCCTCCATCAAGAATCCACACAAGAAATAGAGTCTTCTGCCGATTATAAAGATGGTTTGCAGGTATTGGAGGCTCCCCCTGAAGTTTTAAATAGTGAAACAAATAGATTACAAGTGTCTGACAATCAAGTCGTTGACATAGAGGATGAGAGTATGGACGTTGGGGGAGAAGACTTTGATGCATTGAATGACGCAAGCGAAGAAATGAATGACTCCCAGCTTAGTGGTTCACAAAGTTTTAGTGAAACCTCTTCTATTGATGGGATACCCTGCTCATTTGCACCTTGGCCGTCAAAGATGGCCTCTTCGGATCCAACTTCAAACCTGGCACATAATGAAAAATCAGATGCGGCAGTATGGATGTCAGAGTCTGGTGATCCCGGAATGGATATTGAATCATCAGTTGATGAGTACAGCTTGAGTGCAGATACCACAGATTCATCTGTTGATAGCATTGTTAAGACCGAAACTGTCGAACCAAACAAAGATCAGTTGTTGGCAGATGCTGTGGATCAAGCGGTGCTCAATGCCATGGCTACTGATCTTACAGTTGACAAGAATGTTGACGAAAATTTTGTTGACAGCATATCAAACAATCTTGAATCTTCCGTTGATGCTGGCTACATAAGTCAAAAAACTATGGTTGGCTCCTCTTCTTTCCCTGACGACATCAGCGTTAGTTCGGGAAGCAACATGGAGGAAATGACAAATGAAACTGATGATTATACAGACGAGGGTCACGTGGAACATTTCCTGTCCGTCACCCGTGGCTACCTCGAGGACCAAGCTGACGCAATCGAGTGGCAACAACATTTCTTTGTTCGCTTGTTGCTTGATACCAGAAACATTCCAACAGCTTCAAACAAAATTGATCTGTCTGCAATAACGCGTTTCTTGAAATTCGAGGAGCGGCCGGCGGTTTTCACCAAAACTGTGGCTCTGCTCGCTAAAATCAGAAATGTTCGTTATCATCCTCAATGTGAGACAATAGTGAGAGAGCTCCCTCCAGTCAAGCCAGCTACTATCGACCTTGCTGCGTTGCTATCTGAAGTCTCCTCTCTGAAACAGGACCAGGAGACTGAGTCGAATGCTACAACTGAATCTACCCATGAAGACTCTGAGTACTTGCTTTCTTCTGATATGAACAATACAGAGCTTTCATCACGAGAAATAACACTGACGTCTTCCGAATCAAAGACTGTAACAGATGTAATTTCTGTCGATTCCCCCATTCCAGACACACTACATACTATTTCCGACAAAGACATTCCCTCAGCCTCGTGTGACGAAAGCCATGAATGGGTTGGCACACGAGTAGAATCCATTTCACAAAGCCACAGTATTCAGATTGTCCAAAGTACTTCCTCTTCGCTAGTGACTGCAATTCAAGATAACGAGTCCCTGGATATTCATGCAGATGCCCACGCTAATGTAATTCCGCCCAGTTCTATTGACACAGCGTCATTGCTTCTGGTGAGCTCAGACCAGACCGATGTCGTCAAAATAGAGTCTGAAAATACCGAAGCCATGAACCGTCCATCCACCCCAGAAGCAGATCTTGATGAGGAGGTCATGAGTCAAAATGGTCCAGCCAAAAGAGTAGTTATGGTGGATGAGTTGGACGTTCCGGAGTTCAGAAAAGGTTCTACTGAAGATGATGCGACTTATTTAGAAGAAGATGAAAGTTGCATCCCTGTTTCACACTCAATCGAGGTGAGCCGTGAGGGCGATATTTTTGTTGCCTCTCACGAGACATCCAATGAGATCTTGACCGGAGAACAAAAGGACGTCCGTTCTACGAGTATTGAGGAACACTTGAGTACAGAAATGGAGTATAAAGAAACTGAAATAAATCTTGATGAACAAATGTCTGAGGTGCAAGGTGCAGCTAGTAGTTCCCTGTTTTCCAAGGTAACTGGATCTGCTTCTGATGTTCAGGAATCAATAAATGTATCCGAGCAACAGAGTAGGACGACTGTTGTGTCGTCTTCAATGGTCCAGACTCGGGAATCTTATTCTCAGTGGACATCTGAGGCCCACAGCACATCACTCAGCTGCCAGAAGCTAGTCTTCCATGATCAAAACGACATTGACCTCGGAAGTGACCTGAGGCTTTACGACTGGTCTCACACCTACTCTGAGTCCCCGGATGTCTCTGATTCTGTGGCGGATGACTTGATGGTGAGAAATCCATCACCAGAAGCTTTCCCTGATGAATTCATCAAACCAATTCTTCTTAGGAACGCCGAGATGTTGAAAGATGACAAAGACCAGTCCCTAACTGACATTCCTTCTTTCTACTGCAGTTTTTCAGAGGATGACGACATCGACTTTGCTGAATCGGAATTCCCGATAAGCGAACAAATACTAACAGAAGCACAGATTTTCCCTCAACCGGTCATCGGTATGTCAGCTGTGGCAGAGGAAAGTACAACGCTTTGTGTAATGGAGTTCGAGGAAAGCACAGCTCAATCTCCTGACAAAGTACAGAAAAGTCCCGACGCACTAATCTCCCAGAGATCCGAGGATTCCACCAGGTCAGAGGACACTGTAGGAAGCGATGCCTTTGTGTTTGAAAAGGAATACACAGAAGCAGAGGAAATCTTCCAAAGTACTATGCAAACAGAAAGCCTAGGCATGGGTGAAGATACCCGTGAATCTGATGTAGACAACTGGGATCTCAACACATTGGAAACGAGAGGTGACGAAAATACAAATGCAATAGAGCACAGATCAGAATCTTTGAAGACATTTCATAATAAAACAGAATCATGGATAGAAACTACAGCATGGGGCTCTAAACAAGACTCCACTGCAAGGGTTGAAGAAACTGAGGCTCCCCATGAAACTCCCCCAGAATGGGTACGGGAAACATGTGAAACAGATGTCACAGAAGAACAAGTGACTTCAGAACCATGTGAACTCACTTTGGAGCAAAACCTAGATGAATTTGCTTTTGAAGCACCTGCTAAGGCTTTGGAGCAAGCAGATGGCGAAGAAATCGTTATAGAGGATGACTCGCCTCATGATGTTGGTTTTGAACGTGAAGCTGAAACCACCGAAGAACACGTGACCGCGCAAAAGGAAGTATGCACTGAAGCCAGTGAGACTGAGCTGGAAAGGTGTTTGGATGAGTTCGAGTCTGATGCACCGAGTACAGTGTTTGAAACTTTGGCCACTGAAGGTGAGGAGGAAAGAATCGTCGATAAGGAAGAAAAGGAACACGAAGAGGAAGTTGTCTCGTCACAGGACGTGGAAGACAAACCGCTCTCAGAACCGCGTGAGATCCTTCTTGAGAAAGAGGTGCAAGAGTATGAGCATGAAGCCCCTGCTCAAGCCCAGGAGCATTTGAATGTTGAGGAGACCATGACCAGTGACGTTGAAGTTGACACCGAGATTAAATCTACACAAGAAGTGATCCAAAGCAATGAGTCTGCTGCGATTACACATAGTGTGTCGGCAGTGTCAAAAGACCAAATGGAAGAAAACATTACGACTTCTGAAGAAGAATACATCACCCCAGGGAAAAGTGAAAATGAGATCTTCGAATCTAATGAGATTGCCCTTGAACAGGATCTACAAAACTTTGAACAAGAGGCGCCCAGTAAGGCACTGGAACAGTCAACTGGTAACGAAACTCTGACAAATCAAGCGGAAACTGGAGAGCAGGAGGACCTTGAAGAAAAGGAACCCGAAGAGGTAGCCATTACTTCACAAGACGGGGAAGAGAGTGTAACCTCAGAACCCAGTGAGATTGTTCTTGATCAAGACTTACACGACTTTGAGCATCAAGCACCTGCCAAGGCCTTGGAAGATTTAGATGGGGAGTACATTGCCACAGACGAGCAGGAAGATGTAAAAGGTGTAGAAGAAGACGTGATATCAGAACCAAGTGAAATCGTTCTTGGACAGGATTTGCAAGACTTTGAGCATGAGGCGCCCGCTAAAGCCTTGGAAAACTCGGGTGCTGGCGAAATTGTGATAGACCAAGTGGAAACTGAGGAACTAAAGAATTTTGACGAAAAGGAGTTAGAGGAGGAAGTCATTGCTTCACAATATGGGGATGAGATCTTGCCCTCAGAACCCAGTGAGATCTTCCTTGGACAAGACGTACACGATTTTGAGCATGAAGCACCTGCCAAGGCATTGGAGCATGTAGATGGGGAAGAAACTGTCTCACACGAAGTTGAATCTAAGGAGCAAGAAGATGTGATATCAGAACCAAGTGAAATCGTCCTGGGGCAGAATTTACAAGACTTTGAGCACGAAGCGCCCACCAAGGCTTTAGAACGAGCAGGTGAAGACGAAACTGTGGTAGATCAAGAAGAACCCGAGGAGCAAACAGACTTTGAAGACACATCCCTAGTTGAAGGGTCCATAGTCATGTCAGAAATTCCAGATGACAAGGCGATTGAAGATCGTACTTTTTCAGAAGAGTCCGAGCAGTTGCTTTTAGGCCCATCTGAAATTGTTTTAGATCAGGATGTTCAACAATTTGAACACGAAACTCCAGTCAAGGCCCTTGGGTTGATGGGTTCAGAAGATAAGGCAGCAGATGTGGAAAAAGAGCTCCGGCAAAAAGAACAAGGGGTCTCTCAAGAGGAAGTATCAACTGAGCCTAGTGAAATTGATCTTAGAAAGTCTTTAGAGGAGTTCGAGGCCGAAGCACTAAGTAAAGTGATTGGAATGTCGATCAGTGCTGAAGCAGAGAGGGAGGAGTCTGAAGTGGAAGTTGTTTCTCCACACCATGTAGAAGAGAACTTGCCCTCGGAATCCAGTAAAATTATTCTTGAACAAGGCGTACGGGAGTTTGAGCACGAAGCACCCGCTAAGGCTTTTGAACTTTCAGATGACGAAGTCCTTGAAATAGAAAGGGAAACGGAGCTGAGTCAAGGAGAGAAGGAGACCCCTATTGACAATGAAGCACATTCTGTCACTGCGGATAGTCATGATAAAGAAGAAGAGTCAAAGGAAGATTACGCATATCACCAGCAATCAGCCTCTGAAGAGACCGCTGGTTCTGAGGAGCCTGTCAAATCACCAACTGTCGTGTCACAGCTAAGTTTTACCGCTTTCAAAGACTATGAAATTCCAGAACTAGATGAAATTGTCGCTTCCGTCGTGCGGTTGGACGAACTGGATTCTGAATGCTCCTTTTCTTCTCATTATGAAGCAAGTGAAATGAGTATGAGCCCTTCATTGCAAAGTATGGCCAGCTCTCTCAATGTTGAGTCAAGTGAATTAGAAACCGACGCCGACGCCAGCGCCCAGCAAAAAAATGTACAGGTGTTTGACAAGTTTTTCAGTCCCCCAACATATCTGAGCGAGTTACCGACAGCTGACAGACGTTCACGCTCTCCATCAGTGCCCCAAGAGACATCAGACGCAGAAATTGACTCCTGGCAGGAGGCTGGTGCATTCCCTGATGAGTGGGCAATACCGCTTTTGCAGAAAGAGTACAAAAAGACTGCCGTGAATGATGAAGCTGAAAAAGACATACGCGAAGATGATTTTGAGATGACAGAAATGTCAGCTGAATATACGAATGTCAGCCCTATTCCAACAATTAGTGTCAATGAAGCAGTGAGGTCTGACTCACTCGATGTTTCAGACCAAGAGAGAGAATCAGTGACGCAAAGTCCCACTTCATACCTGAGCGAGTTGCCGGCAGCTGACAGACGTTCACGCTCTCCGTCAGTGCCCCAAGAGACCTCAGACGCAGAAATTGACTCCTGGCAGGAGCCTGGTGCATTTCCCGATGAGTGGGCAATACCGCTTTTGCAGAAAGAGTACAAAAAGACAGCGGTGAATTCTGGTGAAGAAGACATGCTCGAAGATGATTTTGGGGTGACTGAAATGTCTACTGACAATACGACTGACTTTCCTATTCCAACAATACGTGTTAATGAACCAGTGGGATCTGGCCCGCTGGATGCTACTGACGACACGACAGAATCAGTGACACAAAGTCCCGTTCCACCTCAAGACAGACATGTTGGGCATCCCAATGGTCTTGCTGAAACCACAGATGCTGACATTGCTTCCTGGCAAGATTCAGATCCCTACCCAAACGAATGGGCTGTTTCCACAAGTGGGAGTCCTCTGTTGGAGCATGAAAATGACGAGATTGAAATGGCGGACGCCACAGAGACACAGGAGGATGACGTTCCCTCAGATGTGCTTACTGAAGAGACAAGTGATCTAAAGGCTGAAGAACCCGGTCAGATATTGATTGCTGCTGACGATGGAAAAGGAGGAAGGGCAGAAGAAGAAGAAGGAGAAAAAGTAGAAGAAGAAGAAGACGAAGAAGAAGAAGAAGAAGAAGAAGAAGAAGAAGAAGAAGAAGAAGAAGAAGAAGAAGAAGAAGAAGAAGAAGAAGAAGACTCCACGTTTGGACAATTTTCTGACGTCAGCGACAAACAAGACCTTCTGGAGAAGAGCGAAAACACAACTTCTTTAGAAGACAATGACACCGGCAGTCATAGCATATTGAACAAGGTGGATGAGGGTCCCATTGATAGCAAATATACCGACGAGCCCCAGAGTACGGAGGCGGAAGCGCGCCTTTTAGAAAAGCAAATTACCGAGGATGAGATGGCAAGTGAAAATATGGATGCTGAAGACGGTCGTCAAATGGCCGCAGGTGTCGTATCTCAGTTAAGCTTCAGTGCCCTAAAAGATTTTGAAGTGCCCCATCTCAGCGGGAGTGTAACGTCAGAGCTGGAGAGTCAAGAGTCTGGAGAAACGTTTACATCTCATTACGAATCACAGAAAGTGGTCACGACTGTTGGCTCCTCTGTGTCTTCAAAACATGTTCAGGTCGTAGTGAATCCAGAGAAGTTCACTTACTCAAGCGAGTACAAAGTTGCACCATCAACTCATACCAGCACTTATACCACTTCTATGGAAGCAGAAGCGTCAGAGTTAGATGTTTTGTCTCTCGACTTGCCAAACGTGATGAACAGACCCTCAAGTCCCGAAGCTGTTGATGATGAGTGGATCAGGCCTATACTGACTGCAAATCAGGTGGCCACACCTCCAAACTCGCCGACTGAAAGTGATTTGCCGAAGTTCCAAGATAGCTTTTCTGCAGTAAACGATATGGAATTTTCTGTCACTGAACCAGATGATGACAACAACAACTTCGAACAGATTTCGTCTGAAGATGACGCTTCTCTTCTAAACAGACCTGGAAGTCCAGAAGCTTTCGACGATGAATGGATTAAACCTATTCTTCAGAAAAATGTCGTTGATAGCAATCAATCAAATGAATCTGAACCGCAATCGTTGATAACATTCCGTGATTCTTTTGAGCCAAACAACGACATCGATTTCTCGGAAGACGTCTTAAGCCCCTCTTCAGAACAGGAAGCACCCCAGACAGAGCAGACTATTGCTCAGGAAGAGCCCGATCTGATATTGACAAAGGAAGAACTTTCAACTCTCATCACAGAGTTCCAGCAGACAGAATCTGATGCTGTAGAATGTTTCTCCACTGAAACACAGGACCATGATTTGATGACAAGACCACGTAGTCCTGAGGCTGTTGATGATGAATGGATCAAACCCATTGTAGAAACAAATGCCGAACAGTTTGGTACTGTTGAAGGGCAGTCTGTGACCAAAGAAATTGAGAGTTTTGACGAAAGCTTTGGACGAGACAGTGAAATGGATGTGTATGAAAAAATTACTGAACAGGACTTTGTGTCAGCTGCCAAAGATACTGACGATGTTGAAGAAAAAACTAACGTCGAAGTTATGGTGTCTAAAGAATCCTCCGAGGAAGGTGTGTCATATGAGGCGGTTACTCCAGAAGGTGCTGAGGAGGATGTGTCCACTGAACCAAGTGAGATTGTTCTCAAACAATCATTGCAGGACTTTGAAACCGAAACTCCAAGTCAGGTGTTCCAAAGTCACGATGAAGATACTGGGGCTACTGTGGCGGCTGAAGATGATAACATTACGTCTCAGGAAACCCAAAAAGAAGTTAAACTGTCCTTGGAGCCAAGTGAAATTGTTCTTGGACAGGATGTAATGGAGTTTGAACATGAGGCTCCGTCTAAAGCCCTGACTCAAATAGAAGGAGAAGAACTCCAGGAAGAGGAAAGTGTTGCTGAGGAAGAACTCGACCAGACATTGGCACCAGAGGAAGATTCAGCTGTCAGTACAGAGTTCCAGGAGACAGAATCCGATGCAGTAGAAAGTTTCCCTACTGAGACAGAGGTGGAGGATCTGATGACAAGACCACGTAGTCCTGAGGCTGTTGATGATGAGTGGATCAAACCCATAGTGGAAGCAAATGCTGAAGAGTTTGGTGTTATGGAAGGGCAAACTGTGACCAAAACAATTGAGAGTTTTGGCGAAAGCTTTGGACAATACAGTGAAATCGATGTCAATGAAAACATTACTGAACAGGACTTTGTTCCAGCTGCCAAAGATACTGACGATGTTGGTGAAGAAACTGACGTCGAAGTTGAAGAAGAAACTGACGTCGAAGTTGAAGAATTGAAAGAATCCCCCGAGGAAGGTGTGTCATATGAGGTAGTTACTCCAGAAGGTGCTGAGGAGGATGTGTCCACTGAACCAAGTGAGGTTGTTCTCGAACAGTCATTGCAGGACTTTGAATCGGAAGCTCCAAGTCAAGTGTTCCAAAGTTACGGTGAAGATACCGTGGCTACTGTGGCGGCTGAAGATGATAACATTACGTCTCAGGAAACCCAAATAGAAGTTGAACTGTCCTTGGAGCCAAGTGAAATTGTTCTTGGACAGGATGTAATGGAGTTTGAACATGAGGCTCCGTCTAAAGCCCTGACTCAAGTAGAAGGAGAAGAACTCCAGGAAGAGGAAAGTGTTGCTGAGGAAGAACTCGACCAGACAATGGCACCAGAGGAAGATTCAGCTGTCAGTACAGAGTTCCAGGAGACAGAATCTGATGCAATAGAAAGTTTCCCTACTGAGACAGAGGAGGAGGATCTGATGACACGACCACGTAGTCCTGAAGCTGTTGATGATGAGTGGATCAAACCCATAGTGGAAGCAAATGCTGAAGAGTTTGGTGTTATGGAAGGGCAAACTGTGACCAAAACAATTGAGAAGTTTGAAGAAAGTTTTGGACAAGACAGTGAAATCGATGTGTATGAAAACATTGCTGAACAGGACCCTATACCAGCTGCCAAAGATGCGGATGATGTTGGAGACGAAGGTGATGTCGACGCTGAAGAATCAAATGAAATCACTGAAGAGGGTGCATCATATGAGACGGTTACTCCAGATGGCACCGACGAGGATGTGGCAACTGAACCAAGCGAGATTGTTCTTGAACAGCCATTGCAAGAATTTGAAACTGAAGCTCCCAGTCAAGTCTTCCAAACTTTAGATAACAATACAGAGACTCCTGAACCTTCTGTGACGACTGAAGAGGACACTGTGGTGTCTGGGGAAACCCAAGAAGAAATTGAAATGTCATCCGAGCCAAGTGAAATTGTTCTCGGACAAGACCTAGCCGAGTTTGAACATGAAGCACCGGTCAAAGCTTTGAGCCAGTTTGACGGTGGAGATATTCAGGAGAATGAAATCACGGAAGAAGTAGACGAACAAGCAGAGATATCGCCAGAGCCGTGTGAAATTGATTTAGGCCAAGATGTGACAGAATTTGAACACGAAGCACCATCTAAAGCCCTAACGCAGGCAGAAAAGGAAGAAATCCAAGCAGAGGATGTTGCAGATGAGGAAGAACCCGACCACACATCGGCACCAGAGGAAGATTCTGCTGTCAGTACAGAGTTCCAGGAGACAGAATCTGATGCAGTAGAAAGTTTCCCCACTGAGACAGCGGAGGAGGATCTGATGACAAGACCACGTAGTCCTGAGGCTGTCGATGATGAGTGGATCAAACCCATAATGGAAGCAAATGCTGAAGAGTTTGGTGTTGTTGAAGGGCAGACTGTGACCAAAGAAATTGAGAGTTTTGGCGAAAGCTTTGGACAAGACAGTGAAATCGATGTGAATGAAAACATTGCTGAACAGGACTTTGTTCCAGCTGCCAAAGATACTGACGATGTTGGTGAAGAAACTGACGTCAAAGTTGAAGAAGAAACTGACGTCAAAGTTGAAGAATTGAAAGAATCCCCCGAGGAAGGTGTGTCATATGAGGTAGTTACTCCAGAAGGTGCTGAGGAGGATGTGTCCACTGAACCAAGTGAGATTGTTCTCGAGCAGTCATTGCAGGACTTTGAAACGGAAGCTCCAAGTCAAGTGTTCCAAAGTTACGATGAAGATACCGTGGCTACTGTGGCGGCTGAAGATGATAACATTACGTCTCAGGAAACCCAAAAAGAAGTTGAACTGTCCTTGGAGCCAAGTGAAATTGTTCTTGTACAGGATGTAATGGAGTTTGAACATGAGGCTCCGTCTAAAGCCCTGACTCAAGTAGAAGGAGAAGAACCCCAGGAAGAGGAAAGTGTTGCTGAGGAAGAACTCGACCAGACATTGGCACCAGAGGAAGATTCAGCTGTCAGTACAGAGTTCCAGGAGACAGAATCTGATGCAGTAGAAAGTTTCCCTACTGAGACAGAGGAGGAGGATCTGATGACAAGACCACGTAGTCCTGAAGCTGTTGATGATGAGTGGATCAAACCCATAATTGAAGCAAATGCTGAAGAGTTTGGTGTTATGGAAGGGCAAACTGTGACCAAAACAATTGAGAAGTTTGAAGAAAGTTTTGGACAAGACAGTGAAATCGATGTGTATGAAAACATTGCTGAACAGGACCCTATACCAGCTGCCAAAGATACTGCAAGTGTTGGAGAATCAACTGATGTCGAAAATGAAGAAGACCAGGCAGAGGAAATCAATATTGAGGAAGAGCTTGATCAGACATTTTCATTGGAAGAAGATTTAGTTCGAAGTACAGAGTTTCATGAGACAGAATCTGATGCCGTCGAATCTTTCATAGTGAATACAGAGGAACATGATCTGATGACAAGATCAAGAAGCCCGGAGGCTGTTGATGATGAGTGGATTAAGCCCATAGTGGAAGCGAACGCCTCGGAGTTTGGTGTCGTGGAAGGTCAAACTGTGACTAAGGAGCAGGAGACATTTGGAAAAAGATTTGGCCCCGACAGTGAAGTTGAAGTGTATGACATCTGGTACTGGCAACAAGATTTGCAATCAACTGTGAACACCATTGCAGAAAATGTTGAAGACGAAGCTGACCTTGCTGTTGTGGGAACTGACATGGAGACTACTGAATCCGGTATTACCAGCCACGAAACTCTACAGAATGTCAGTGCATTGGAAGGGACTGACGAGAGAGTTGCCGTTCCCACAGAGCGGTGCGAATTTGTAATGGAGAAAGAATTAACAGCATTTGAACACGAAGCACCATTTATAGCCTTAGACCAACAGAATGGGGAGGAAATCCAGGGACACGAATACTCAGCTGAGAATGAAGATCATCTGCAAAGTACTCAAGAAAAGGTTCAGGAGGCTGTGCTGGAGACGGACACTGGCTCTGCTGAGACTACTGAAGCAAAGAAACCACCGTCCATCGTTTCTCAAATCAGTTACTCAAGCCTCAGAGACTTTGATGTTCAAGACCTTGGAGAAAGCATCGAAGAAGCGATTCTGGAGTCTGACCATACTTATTTATCTCGGTTTGAGTCAAGTCAAGTGCAGAGGACGGTGAGTTCCAGTTGCACAGAAAAGCATGTGGACATTTTGGTAAAGTCGATTAGTCCAACTTCTTTCACAAGTCAGTCTGAGTTCATATGCAGTTCAACCGTATCGCCTGAACCGGAAGGCCAGCTATTGGCGGATTTTGAATCAGAGGAAACGACTGAACAGCAAGAAGTGCAACAGATAGTGACTGAGGCTGAAGAAGGGACAATGTCTCTATACGAGCAAGAATCTGAGATTTCTGAGCAATTTCAGCAGACAGAATCTGATGCAGTTGAACATTTCCCCACTGAGACAGAGGAGGAGGATCTGATGACAAGACCACGTAGTCCTGAGGCTGTTGATGATGAATGGATCAAGCCCATAATGAAAGCAAATGCTGAAGAGTTTGGTGTTGTGGAAGGGCAGACTGTGACTAAAGAAACTGAGAATATTGGTGAAAGTTTTGGTCGAGACAATGAAATCGACATGTACGAAAGCACTGCCGAACAAGAACTTATACTAGCTGCGAACAGTGCTGCTGATGTAGAAGAAGACACTAATGTCGCCGATGAAGAATCTAAAGAAATCTCTGAAGAAGGTGCATCATATAAGACAGTCACTCCAGAAGGTGCTGGGGAGGATGTGTCCACTGAACCAAGTGAGATTGTTCTTGAACAGTCATTGCAGGACTTTGAAACCGAAGCTCCAAGTCAAGTCTTTCAAAACTTCGATGAAATTACCGAGGCTCCTGAATCTATTTCTCCGGCGGAAGAAGATACCATGACATCTCAAGAAACCCAAGAAGCTGAAATGTCCTCCGAGCCAAGTGAAATTGTTCTCGAACAAGACATTGCCGAGTTTGAACATGAAGCACCTGTCAAAGCGTTGAGTCAATTTGATGGAGAAGACATCCTGGTGAAACAAATTGTTGGAGAAGCTGAAGTAGTAGACAAAGCAACGACTGAAACAGAGTCCGTTGTATGTAGAGAAATAGATGAGGCTACTGGTGTGTCAGAAGAAACCAATGAACCAGCAGAGTTGTTGATAGAGCCAAGTGGAATTAATTTAGGACAAGATGCAACAGAGTTCGAAAAGGAGGCCCCGTCAATGGCCCTGACTCAAGTTGGAAGGGAAGACACCGAGGATGAGGAACTTGCTGCCGAGGAAGAACCCGACCAGACACTGACTACAGAAAAAGATTCAGCTGTCAGTACAGAGTTCCAGGAGACAGAATCTGATGCAGTTGAAAGTTTCCCCACTGAGACAAAGGAGGAGGATCTGATGACAAGACCACGTAGTCCTGAGGCTGTTGATGATGAGTGGATTAAACCCATAGTGGAAGCAAATGCTGAAGAGTTTGGTGTTGTGGAAGGGCAAACTGTGACCAAAACAATTGAGAGTTTTGAAGAAAGTTTTGGACAAAACAGTGAAATCGATGTGTATGAAACCACCGCCGAACAGGAACCTATACCAGCTGTCAGTGATTCTCCTGATATATCGAAAAAAACTGACGTCGACATTGAAGAAACAAGAAGTATTCCCGAAGAAGATGCATCATATGAGACAGTAATTACAGATGGCACCGAGGAGGATGTGTCCACTGAAGTAAGTGAGATTGTTCTTGAACAAGCATTGCAGGACTTTGAAACGGATGCTCCAAGTCAAGTGTTCCAAAATTTCGATGAAGATACTGAGACTTCTGAACCCACTGTGACTGCTCAAGAGGATACCACGATGTCTCCCGAGACCCAAGAAGAAGAGGAACTGTCCTTGGAGCCAAGTGAAATTGTTCTCGGACAAGACCTAGCCGATTTTGAACATGAAGCACCTGTCAAAGCGTTGAGTCAGTTTGATGGAGAAGACATTCTGGTGAAAGAAATTGTGGGAGAAGCTGAAGTAGTAAACAAAGCGACGTCAGAGGAAGAGTCCGTTGTATGTACAGAATTAGATGAAGTTACTGCTGTGTCAGAAGAAACCAATGAACCAGCAGAGGTGTTGACTGAGCCATGTGAGATTAATCTAGGCCAAGATGTAACAGACTTTGAACATGAGGCACCGTCAATAGCCCTGACTCAAGTTGGAAAGGAAGATATAGAGGATGAGGAACTTGCTGCTGAGGAAAATATCGACCAGACTTTGGCACCAGAGGAAGATTCAGCTGTCAGTACAGAGTTCCAGGAGACAGATTCTGATGCAGTAGAAAGTTTCCCCACTGAGACAGAGGAGGAGGATCTGATGACAAGACCACGTAGTCCTGAGGCTGTCGATGATGAGTGGATCAAACCCATATTGGAAGCAAATGCTGAAGAGTTTGGTGTTGTTGAAGGGCAGACTGTGACAAAAGAAATGGAGAACTTTGAAGAAAGCTTTGGACAAGACAGTGAAATCGATGTCAATGAAAATATTTTTGAACAGGACGTTGTACCAGCTGCCAAAGATGCAGATGACGTTGGAGACGAAGGTGATGTCGACGCTGAAGAATCAAAAGAAATTACTGAAGAGGGTGCATCATATGAGACGGTTACTCCAGATGGCACTGAGGAGGATGTGACAACCGAACCAAGCGAGATTATTCCTGAACAATCATTGCAAGAATTTGAAACTGAAGCTCCTAGCCAAGTCTTCCAAACTTTAGATAACAATACAGAGACTCCTGAACCTTCTGTGACGACTGAAGAGGACACTGTGGTGTCTGGGGAAACCCAAGAAGAAATTGAAATGTCATCCGAGCCAAGTGAAATTGTTCTCGGACAAGACCTAGCCGAGTTTGAACATGAAGCGCCGGTCAAAGCGTTAAGTCAGTTTGACGGTGAAGATATTCAGGAGACTGAAATCACGGAAGAAGTAGTTGACCAGGCTGAGATATCGCCAGAGCCTTGTGAAATTGATTTAGGCCAAGATGTAACAGAATTTGAACTTGAAGCACCGTCTAAAGCTCTAACTCAGGCAGAAAAGGAAGAAATTCAAGCAGAGGACATTGTAGATGAAGAAGAACCCGACCAGACGTCGGCACCAGAAGAAGATTCAGCTCTTAGTACAGAGTTCCAGGAGACAGAATCTGATGCAGTAGAACGTTTCCCTACTGAGACAGAGGAGGAGGATCTGATGACAAGACCACGTAGTCCAGAGGCTGTTGATGATGAGTGGATCAAACCCATAGTGGAAGCAAATGCTGAAGAGTTTGGTGTTGTGGAAGGGCAAACTGTGACCAAAACAATTGAGAGGTTTGAAGCCAGTTTTGGACAAAACAGTGAAATTGATGTGTATGAATCCACCTCCGAACAGGAACTTATACCAGCTGTCAGCAATTCTGCTGATATAGAAAAAGAAACTGACATTGAAGAAACAAGAAGTATTTCCGAAGAAGGTGCATCATATGAGACAGTAATTGCAGATGACACTGAGGAGGATGTGTCCACTGAACCAAGTGAGATTGTTCTTGAACAGTCATTGCAGGACTTTGAAACCGAAGCTCCAAGTCAAGTGTTTCAAAACTTCGACGAAATTACTGAGGCTCCTGAATTTATTTCTCCGACTGAAGAAGATATCATGACATCTCAAGAAACCCAAGAAGCTGAAATGTCCTCCGAGCCAAGTGAAATTGTTCTCGAACAAGACATTGCCGAGTTTGAACATGAAGCACCAGTCAAAGCGTTGAGTCAGTTTGATGGGGAGGAAATTCAGGAGAAGGAAATCGTTGGAGAAGTCGAAAAAGAGGCGTCTGAGGAAGATTCGGAACTTCGGGATACTACTACTATGTCGGAGGAAACCGATGAACAAGCAGAGGTGTCGATAGAGCCATGTGAAATTGATTTTGGCCAAGACATTACAGAATTTGAACATGAGGCTCAGTCTATAGCCTTGACTCAGGCAGGCAGTGATGAAGTTCAAGAGGAGGAAATTGTTTCCGAGTCAGAACTTAACCAGACATTGGCACCAGAGGAAGATTCAGTTGTCAGTACAGTGTTCCAGGAGATAGAATCTGATGCAGTAGAAAGTTTCCACACTGAGACAGAGGAGGAGGATCTGATGATAAGACCACGTAGTCCTGAGGCTGTCGATGATGAGTGGATCAAACCCATATTGGAAGCAAATGCTGAAGAGTTTGGTGTTGTTGAAGGGCAGACTGTGACAAAAGAAATTGAGAACTTTGAAGAAAGCTTTGGACAAGACAGTGAAATCGATGTCAATGAAAATATTTTTGAACAGGACGTTGTACCAGCTGCCAAAGATGCGGATGCTGTTGGAGACGAAGGTGATGTCGACGCTGAAGAATCAAATGAAATTACTGAAGAGGGTGCATCATATGAGACGGTTACTCCAGATGGCACTGAGGAGGATGTGACAACTGAACCAAGCGAGATTATTCCTGAACAGTCATTGCAAGAATTTGAAACTGAAGCTCCTAGCCAAGTCTTCCAAACTTTAGACAACAATACAGAGACTCCTGAACCTTCTGTGACGACTGAAGAGGACACTGTGGTGGAGGACCTAGCCGAGTTTGAACATGAAGCGCCGGTCAAAGCGTTAAGTCAGTTTGACGGTGAAGATATTCAGGAGACTGAAATCACGGAAGAAGTAGTTGACCAGGCTGAGATATCGCCAGAGCCTTGTGAAATTGATTTAGGCCAAGATGTAACAGAATTTGAACTTGAAGCACCGTCTAAAGCTCTAACTCAGGCAGAAAAGGAAGAAATTCAAGCCGAGGACATTGTAGATGAAGAAGAACCCGACCAGACGTCGGCACCAGAAGAAGATTCAGCTCTTAGTACAGAGTTCCAGGAGACAGAATCTGATGCAGTAGAAAGTTTCCCTACTGAGACAGAGGAGGAGGATCTGATGTCAAGACCACGTAGTCCAGAGGCTGTGGATGATGAGTGGATCAAACCCATAGTGGAAGCAAATGCTGAAGAGTTTGGTGTTGTGGAAGGGCAAACTGTGACCAAAACAATTGAGAGTTTTGGCGAAAGCTTTGGACCATACAGTGAAATCGATGTCAATGAAAACATTACTGAACAGGACTTTGTTCCAGCTTCCAAAGATACTGACGATGTTGGAGAAGAAACTGACGTCGAAGTTGAAGAAGAAACTGACGTTGAAGTTGAAGAATTGAAAGAATCCCCCGAGGAAGGTGTGTCATATGAGGTAGTTACTCCAGAAGGTGCTGAGGAGGATGTGTCCACTGAACCAAGTGAGATTGTTCTCGAACAGTCATTGCAGGACTTTGAAACGGAAGCTCCAAGTCAAGTGTTCCAAAGTTACGATGAAGATACCGTGGCTACTGTGGCGGCTGAAGATGATAACATTAC